CCTTCACGAGGAGTAACAGGCGTAAGTAAAGTAAGTAAGTAAGTTTACTCCTAAATTGAATTTCGCAAAGGATTTTATTCTTTTCTATCTTATCTCTATTCTGTTAGGTTTATTGTCAATTTAAATGGGTTTTAGTTAGTTTTAATGAAACTAGCGTGTCTGTACACTAAAATGGTGAACATTTTTACGATCATACAGTGGTGCATCGTTGTTATTAATGACCATGAAATATTGTCAAATTTTATTTATTGTTCAGTTGATATGATAATTTATTATATGTAATTGAGTTAATTTATATATGTAGTGTTATACCAAGATAAAAATATCAAGTACTCAAACAGCAAGATCACTGACAATTGATGATTCATTAGTTGGCTAGAGCAAATATCATTTTCAGTTTAGGGGTTGTGGAGATTGTTAAGTTTTTTCGATTGAAATCATGAGTCGATTGAAGCTAGACCACCATGGAAAACCTAGAAGCACTGGACGGCCGTTTCGTCCTAGTATGGGACTCCTCAGCAGTGCGCACCCATGATCCCGCCTCATGCGAGATTCGAACCCAGGACCTATCAGTCTCACGCCAGGCACTTAACCAACTAGACCACTGAGCCGGGGTCCAATGGTGTTAATGTATAACACCAACCAATCCACGAAATTGCGCGACCATCTTCCATTGTACTGAGGTAGACACCTGTTTCTACCCGACACGGATTATCTCCACTAGTCACGGCTTCTCACCAGAACTCCGAGAATTTTCTCACGAAGCTAGTCACTAGTGAGCACATGGTAATTATCAATTTAGGGGTTGTGGAGATGGTTAATTTTTTTTATTGAAATCATGAGTCGATTGAAGTTGGACCACCATAGAAAACCTGGAAGCACTGGACGGCCGTTTCATCCTAGAATGGGACTCCTCAGTGCCTGGCGCGAGATTTGATAGGTCCTAGGTTCGAATCTCGCGGGGTGCGGGATCGTGGATGCACACTGCTGAGGAGTCCCATACTACGGCAAAACGGCATTCCAGTGCTTCCAGGTTTTCCATGGTAGTCTAGCTTCAATTGACTCATGATTTCAATTTAAAAAATATCAGTTTGTTTGCCTTTTTTCCGATATCGTCATATATCAGATTAGAAAACTAATGACTAAATGACTTCATATCATTTCGGCAATCAGAAAATAATCGTTTGTTTACCTAATATAAAAATGAAATTCAATGAATAATTACGTAAATAAATAATCACCTAGCAAATGACTTTATAAAGAGAAGGCTTGGCAATAGAATGTGTTATAGTACATCTAACATCTGTAACATCTGATATTTTATTCTGAACTGATTTAGCACATACAATGTTTTCATGTTGCACATTTGCAATGTTGATTTGATATAGTAGCAATCAAGTCAAAGGACATTTACTGTCGTTGTTTCTTTGCAATTTGCGATTAATTGTATGTAAAATAAAGATTAAGTTTACTGTAAACCGAGAATTGTTTAGATACATGTCTACACATTATCAGGCAGACATATCATTATATATTCTATTATGTCAAGTAGATAGTCATACATCTTGTAAATGCTATAAGTCTGATTGTGAAAAGCCCGCTACTTTTCCTTATATTTCTAGAAAACTTTGATCGTGGTATGAAAACGACATTGTAACATTTATAAAATGTAGAAGTAATGAATGAATCTGAATAAATACTATTCTATACTGTCGAAGATCAAACATTGTAACCGAATCTATTCAACGTTATAAGTGTTAACTTTGTGCTACATCAGAAAATTTAGCCTCAAATAGATCATTTTCATCTTATTAAACTTACTATGATTAATATTGCGTTTTAAGAAAGTATGATGTTTAGTAAAAGGCATATCAATTTACCGATAATAAAAATTACTTGGGTAACAATATCAAGGTTGAACTTGATAGTTTCAAATAAATTGAACATATGGTAGAAAGTTAATAATAAATACGTTGTTGTTATATTCCGATGAGTAGAAAAATTGTATTTCTGACGTTTCGTGACTTAATATAAGCCACGTTAACTCTAAAGAAGGGGATTTCATTAAGTCACGAAATGTCAGAAATACAATTTTTCTACTCATCGGAATATAACAGCAATATATTTAACATTTAAAAAAATATTTGGTTTTATAGAAGTATTGTGGTTAAAATAATTATCATCTTTTTGTAAGTAACTAGTTGCTTCATATAAGGCAAGAAGTAAATCCAAAGAAATAGCCAAAGTTTTATTTTCTATATAAAATTATTATTTATTTTGAAAATATATTTTTAAAACGTCTATGAGTTTTAGGAGTATTGAAAATTGTGTATTATATATTGAAGAATTTTCACAAGCATAACAGAAGATATAGTACTACTTTTACATAACGTAATTTAATGTAATAAAACGCTCTGTTTTTGTAATTCGGTTTACACAATGTCCGGTTATTGAAAAACATTTTCTTTGCGAATTACCAAGGGTTTAAAACAATTAGTCCGTTTGATAAATTTCGATAATGCAATGAGAAGACGACGTTTATCAGAATTATGTGATATATTTGCTCAATACAATTCGAACAATCTGATCACACATATACTTGTTAAGAACATTTATGTATGAAAATCAAAAGGTCAACTAGACAGGTTAAGGGTAAGCCATAAGAAAGGAAAAAATATTAAAGTATACAAAAACAAATGTGATCACCACTCTAAATAATAAATCAGTATTACCAGGTTAGGTTAAGTGTAAGGACAAATTGTTTTTGAACAAATCAAGGGGTTTCAATTTCCGTATAGACAAGGCTACAATAAACACTACAAATGCTGATTTGATGTCAACCTTATGACCAGTCTCAATCAAATGTTTCGCAATGGATGATGATGTTTGTCTATCCTGTGATCTTATTTCACCATTCGAATTCATCTGATTCTGCAACCATTTTGGTATATGTCCATATACCCTTAATTGCAAATCACGATTGCTCCTCCCTATGTACGTGTTGCCACACTTACTTGTGATACTATTGAAGTAGAGACGAAGCTCTTGACTGATACGTCAATGAATAATAGTTATTCTTTGAAGTTCATAAACCACTAGAAGGGTTGCAATACGATTAGACCTATGACGCTTCTGGCACCCAAAAAGCGAGTCTATATTACATTATCATTCAGAGATGGCACAAATAATCTCATGTTGAAACAGAGACTTAAATTAGCTATCAAACGGACATTTTATGCAGCCCAACTTGTCATTATCAAAAAGACAAGGTCTATGTTTCACCAAAAGTCCAAACAGCTCAAAAGTGATTGTGTCACATCCCATTGTGTCTATCAGTTTACATGTAGGTGTGGAAACACGTGCATAGGGAGGAGCAATCGTGATTTGCAATTAAGGGTATATGGACATATACCAAAATGGTTGCAGAATCAGATGAATTCGAATGGTGAAATAAGATCACAGGATAGACAAACATCATCATCCATTGCGAAACATTTGATTGAGACTGGTCATAAGGTTGACATCAAATCAGCATTTGTAGTGTTTATTGTAGCCTTGTCTATACGGAAATTGAAACCCCTTGATTTGTTCAAAAACAATTTGTCCTTACACTTAACCTAACCTGGTAATACTGATTTATTATTTAGAGTGGTGATCACATTTGTTTTTGTATACTTTAATATTTTTTCCTTTCTTATGGCTTACCCTTAACCTGTCTAGTTGACCTTTTGATTTTCATACATAAATGTTCTTAACAAGTATATGTGTGATCAGATTGTTCGAATTGTATTGAGCAAATATATCACATAATTCTGATAAATGTCGTCTTCTCATTGCATTATCGAAATTTACCAAACATTTATTTGCATTTTGATTAACTTAGCTACTGGGTACAGATTATTTTCCTTGACTTCAAGACACACTCTAAGTGTGAGAAATTATCATACTTGGTTGTTTGAAGTCAAGTAGGTGGATTGGATCTCGAACATGCAGCTTAGTGGACAAGAACCAAGTACCTTAACCACTTAACGACCGCTACACAGCTATCTCTTCATTTGCTAAAAAATATTCAGTCTCTTTATCAGATAGTTAGATACATTAGCACGAAACAAGATACTGTGTATTATTAGAGATAACGTTATATGTTATAATTATGTTGCATAAAGTAAGACGTTTACAGAAACACCATTTTTATCAACCAAATAGCACAAAAGAAAATCAAGCTATAAAGTGTTTCTTTCTGATGATGACTGTTTTCTAAATCTACGATCGTCGATAATCATCCATGCTTTATACTATTCTAAATTTAACAACTCATCTGTTGTACTTTTCAGTAAGGTCAAACATTTTGTTTATTTGGAGTTATGTTCCATTAAATCAGAATATATAAATATCAACCCCGAATTTATTAAAATATAATTTATATGAAAGAACTTGAAATAGCGTTTAGAAATTTTATTTCTAAATAATACTCAGTAGTAAACCAAATTGGTATTTTGAAAATGAGTATTTACTGCATCAGTTACTGATTTGGAAACTGAATATGACACTATTCAATTACGTTTCCTGAATGATATCAATATCAGTATTGGATTATGCTTATAGATTTTCTTTACATACAATAAATGGAAATATGGAATTTTCTCCATGGTAATAAATCAGAATTGGAATTTTTAAATGTCAAGCTTTACAAGTTGCTCTATGATTTTAATGTAGAACACCTTGATGATAATGGAATTTTTATACTACATAATTTATCTAAAACATGAGCTATCTGTTCATATATGTGTTAGATCATGTGTACTATAAATGGTAAGTTCAGCTTAATGAAGTCCTCTTAATTCATTATAGATTATAGATTACAGACTGAGAAATGTACCTCATATCGTGGGAGCATATGTTCATGTACTATGGGTCAGTTTATGAAATATACAAATAGAAAGGCTTTATAAATCAATACAAAACTTTATTAAACTTTCAAGTATTCACTGCATTCAATTGGATTAATGAACTTCAATAATGAGACAAAACGTATTCATTTTTCATGTCAGTGAATGATCACATCAAAACATAAGGACGTTACGCAACCATTTTGATGTTAATTTACTTGATAATTTTATTGTGTTCACATTTAATGGCTATTATAAATTAATATAAATCAAAGCATAAAATCAATACAAGATGTAGTTTTGTTTGAATAGTAGAAATTATGTTTTATAAGGTATAAGTAAACACATATCTGCAATCAAACTGGGGCGTTTCTACATTTATTATTTATTAATAACATTTGATTGGTTGATATTATTAGCCAATAAGGGCTAAACTATGAAATGATTTATAGATGTCGAATTCATTTACAATTTCTAACATACTAAATCACTTATGAACATTTAAAGCAAGTTATACGGAATTTCTAGTAACCTTTAAAATGATTCAAAGTACAAACTAGAATAAAAGTTTGCAAATATATTATTCACATACAATGAATAAAAACTATTCGAGAACATCATGGGAAAACGAAGTAAGTGTTCATTTTGAAGTCATGTTATTTGATCGAAATTTCCAATTCTATCCGTATATTATACAGCTCAAAACTATTGGAATAATGACTAGAAATCAGCTTATCGTCTATCTTCAAAGAATTTAAAGCAATTAGTCCCTTTTATAAATTTCGATGGAACAATGCGAAGACGGAGTTTATCTGAAAAATGTGATGTATTTGCGCTATACATTTTGAATAATCTGCTCACACATATACTTGTCAAGGCATTTTTATATGAAAATTAATAAAGGTCAATTAAATAAAAGTTCAAGTAAAATAACAAGGGGGGGGGAAAGAATAAGAAATTGTCGCATTATCCTAGGCCATAGAACGACTTAAGGATTACCGGGCTAAATTCAAGGTTAAGACAAATAGTTTTTGTACACATGAGGGGGGTTTAAATTTACGAATAGCCAAGGCTATTCTTTCTCCCCCCCTTTGTTATTTTACTTGAACTTTTATTTAATTGACCTTTATTAATTTTCATATAAAAATGCCTTGACAAGTATATGTGTGAGCAGATTATTCAAAATGTGTAGCGCAAATACATCACATTTTTCAGATAAACTCCGTTTTCTCATTGTTCTATCGAAATATCTTCAAAGAATTATGAACAAACTAAATTATCTCTTTATAATAACTACAAGTACATTTAATGAATTGAATAGAATTTCAAGAATAGTAATAGTAGTACGTCACGATCATATTCATATGAAAATATTTATCGATTTAAAAACTTCCCAAGGTTTGGAAAGAAATTTATTAAATATAATTTCTGTCATGAGATTTCCTTAAGGTTTATGTTGCTTTTTTTTGGTATTTCATTTTATCAATATGTAAACAGGCAATTCATACATTTAATTTATTAGATTACAGTTTAAACAATCTTATTTCGATCGCATGTTAAGTGTACTTGAGAGATAATTTTTGAACTTAAAAAAATCGATAATTATCGATTAAATAACTGTAAGTACATTCGAAGTAAACTTTTAATAAAATGAACTAATGACGATTAGCAATTAATGAATGATCTTCATGTATAATCTAATTTCATTTTTATTAGGCGATGTTTTTATGCAAATAAATTCATCTTGTATTCTACATTAAAGAACTTACATATTATGTACAATTTTATACTGAAACACTAGAGTCACATATCGTGTTGCTCATGTTGTTCTACCGTAGGGTGATAATTTTGATCTTCGATACACTGTTTTGTCATATTGAAATATGGAATTAGTCTCTTTAAGTTAAAGAAACGCAGATCATTTACCGAAGTATAATACAATTCATAAAGTCACTACATTTCCGTGCCCAGTGACTGATATTGGTTCTCACACCTATTACTTTACTTTTTGACGTAGATTTTAGGTACATGTTCCTTTTATTTCACTGAGATCATGCTCATATATAAATGCATTTAATTGCTAGTCTATTTATTATTGTTCAACTATTTTTCCATTAACAAGTATAAACTCAATGAAAATCGAATGAAACAACAAATTTATTTTTAGTTGTACAGGATGCAAAAGTTAGATGGATAGGGCTGATACCAGCAGGTATAAAATTGAAGTCGACCGTTTTGTCTTAGCACGGAATTACTTAACAGTATGCACAAATAACTCAGAAATTAAAGATCAAACTACTGATTCGTAAATCTCAAAGACGCCTTATCGCATTCATTCCTTTTTGTGGTATTAGTCAACTATAAACAAATGTCAGATGCGTATAATTTTTTCACGTCTATTATCGCTGAGGTCCAGCCATGAATATTTATAATTAGACCTTGAGGCACTAATATGTAAGCTGGCTACTTAAAGGCATGACAAATAAAGCTTACAAATTTTACGATTCTTCACAAACAATTTCACGTGAACTGTATACGGATAATTACTATTAAATAGCTTTCGGATGACTTAGTGATGCTTCAATTTAAAGTTGTCAAACGTAAAGTTATGATGTGTCCGGGGTTAAAGTCATCACCAATAATTCTGGAAGTAGGTTCTGCTGATCCGCGAGCTATCTTTTCAAATCAAACTGAGACGAAACTTTGTTAAAGCAATTATAAAACTGAGAACTCTACGTTTATTTCGATGGCAACCACTGACGTAGGGCAGTATATCTATACTCACCAGTTTCTGATCATTAATAACACACACTGACTCTAAAACAGCTTTCATGATGATCTTATTCCTTTTCATAGGGCCACGCTTCAGATTTTGTCCAATTTAATAAGTGAAAAATACCGATCTCGTGACTACAATTTTTATTCATCTCCTCAACAAAATAAAGGTCAATAATAATTTGTTTATTTAAAGAAACGATATTATTTCTCCAAATATATAATTTTACTGATCATAAGTACTTATCTTTTAAACTTAATCTTCCATTGAACAACGCTGTACATGGATCTAAAATATTTATTTATTCTTAGATTACTGTAACTATGCAGTTCACTCAACTGCTCACTAAACAAATCAACAGTTCAGGATTTTGGTAATTTAAAATGATATGTCATTAAACCAATTTACATTGACTATATCCATCCATACTTTTAATCATGGCAATCAAAAATCAGTTACTTCATTAAATGTTAATCACTGTGATAATCTACCATCTGTAAATATGTGATTAAACTGATTAAAATTGTTCAGTATCACAGTTTATTGGTTACTAGATTTAACCATAAAAGTAAAAGATTTTCCTTCTAACAGGTAGATTAAGGTAGCATAATTTCATTCACTAACTCCAATATGTAACTGTTTTTTTAATTCGACAATACTGCAAACGTTCATAAATTGTACGTTATTATATTAACTAGCACTTTCATTTAGTGATTTGGTCAATTCATAGTTTAACTGTCCAGCATTACAATTATTATCTATTCAGTAACGGTATTTTGGTAGCATGATATTCTTATTCTTTTAATAAATAAAAAATAATTAAGTGATGATTGTCTATAAACAGTCTAAACCATATATATTTGCATTTTCATAATATTTTGATAATGTACACCATCTAGACAAAGTACATATACATACAGAATAATTTCATCAGTCGCATGTAAAACCGTATTTCAGTTATTTCCTGAATGTGTATTCATTATTCAAAGATAAAAAGTGATGGATTATGTCTATTTGAAAATTTCATTCAGTAAAGATAAATAAAACTGGACAAATCAGCTTATTGGCACATGATTAGAAGCGCAAACATCTACATTCTTTTTGACAATCGAATAACATATGGGATTGAAATGGATAAACAATTACACTGCCTTATAATAATACCATTAAATGTGACATAACTCCACTCGATAAAATAAAATGTAATAGATAGATCCAATTAAGGATGTATCATCCAAAGGAACAACAACTACGGTTTCCTCAATTAATTACTTTGAAATGCATTTACTATGTGTTTGTGATCAGTTATGATGAATAGAAACCTGTTGGGAGTAAGAAAATCCCACTGATAACGCACTATAGAGAGCACATAATATCAATGATCAAATGAATATCAAATTTTGAACCACTGGATTCTGATCCATTATTTAAAATGTGAAGTACTTACCACTAGATGTAAATTTTTCGAGTTCACTCAAGTATAGAGTCGTCGATACTTACAAAATGACGATAAAACATTTAAATTTGAAGAGTTTTCACTTAATGTCTTCAAAAAATATATTAATTTTATTCGTTATTGTCAATCAGGAAAAACCATCGTTAATTATAGTATACATTAAAATTATTCTAACTCCGGAATTAATTGACACTGTTCCAAACGTATGGGTGAGAAAATAGCAATCAAACTATCTTCAGGCATTCTTTCTTATCAATTATGAAATTTAAACTGGTTATCGATCTATTTTAATCTCTAAATCCGTCAAGCATAAAATAAACACTAAAATTTTCCAACGTGATGGTACTAAAAAGACCAGGAAAGATATTGGCTTAATTAATTGACTCAAAATGTTATTGTTTTATCTAAACCATCAGAACGTCGTTTGTAAAAACAGCAGGATTAATCATTATGCTGGTAAACAAATATATATATATATATATATATATATATATATATATATATATATATATAAGCATTGTGCTGACGTTTGTGAGTAGAAAGATGCTAAGCGCTCTGTGCAGACAGTAATTAGTTAGATACTGACAATTAAATGATCTTTATTACTATAAAATAATTATACACGCTAAATATTAGTATTGCTATTTTCAACAATAATAGCGTCGTAAATCTATTGAGTCTTCTTAATTTATAAACTGACATGAGTGAATAGAAATTAGACTTTGTAACTATTTCTTTGATAGAAATATGGAACACAATATATTCTGTGAAATATTGTACTCTTTTTTCAGAATATTTATTTTTTAATATTTAGGAAGTATCACATTTTATTTATTTATTTCAACACATAGATAATGGTACAAAGAGGCACCAAATACATATGCGCCACACATATCTCATTTGATATGTGTGAGGGCTGTGATACTGCCCGGGTGCTCAAACCGAAGCAGGTGATTTCCTTAGGGGGCCACTCCCCGAGCCTTCGACCTGAAGGTCTGATCCACAAGGCAGTGGTACATCGTGAGAAGATGCAGTCCCATGGAAGCCGGTGACCAACAATTGGTTCATATGCCATTTGTTCCCGCAGGATACTGGAGCCCATGTGCACCATTGGTTTGGAATCCGGTTAAAGCGCCGGACATTCGCTTCTCGTCCTCTCATTTTCGTAAACAACACCCCCGCCATGAGAAGGCAGTGAGTAGGACTTCTCTGGCAGTGGCTATATACGTGTGGCCGTGTGAGAGCATTTCGAGAGGGAGAGCGGACTCTCCCCACTCTCGGCCGTACCAGGGCATTTGGGGGCTAGGAAGTATCACATGGCTTTGACTCATGTTTTTTGTTAATTGTCCCACAAAATGTATTGCATCAACATCTGGAAATGTTTTCCATTGTTTATGTAT